CAGCTAGATAACTTACACTCATAAGTTACGTGGCGCCCTAATTTAACACCATACAGTATACACAATTTTAGCTAGCTGCTTCCTAACCTACGACCCGCTCTCACGACGAAAAGCTGCCGTTATGTGTGATTTTCTTGTGATTGAAAATAAATGTAAAATAAATAAAGAATAAAACAACCCCAATACCTATTTTGATAATCAAAAGAAAAAATAACACGGCAAGGTCTATTAGTAAAATTTAAGAACAACAGATGGCGTCTGGACACTCAAGATGGCGGAAATGAAGTTGCATATCAAATATATTTGTGTCCATATCTTGCGCTCCAAAGGGAGTAATTGAACAGGCAGGTGTATTAAAAAGTTCATGAATAATTTTTTTTTTAAACAAGCTTTTAGTGACGTCATTTTATTTTCGTATTCTTCTCAGCAAACCCATTCATTTGATACCCATATCATGGGGATCCGCCATATTGGATTTAAAATGACGTCACTTAGATAACCATGCATTGTCATCCAAACTAAAAGGGTATGCAAAATTTCAGCTAAATCGGTTGGGGATAACTGCTTTAAAATTCAGTGGCCAGATTTTACCCATACTAACAAGGCAAGTTAAATAAAACCTTGTAATAATAATAAAAAGGCATGCCTATCGTTTGAAAATGATTTTGTTGTACTATTATGTACAAATAATTATAAAAACACACATACCTAATTAATGTTATTCTTACTCTCGGTCTTACTTAAGTACTTGAATTTGTTAACACTCTTAAGTTTCTTTTGTAAGTAGCTAAACCTAAATTGTTTATTAATGAAATACGAAGAATAAAAAAAATGCTTTATTGTCGTTTATCTGGATAGTAGTTAAGATTCACATTATAAATTAACGTTAATATATACCTACAACTAATAATTAGGTACCTTAGTTTCTAATATCCTATGATTTTGTACCATTTTCTCACAACACTTACAACTGATTCGGCTTTAATATTCAATCAAATATACACCTTTTTGAACTTTAAAATAAATACTGTTGTTAATAAGTTTAGCTTTACATAGATCACAATTCTTCAGTTAATTATAACAAACTCTTCAAGATCTCAAAGAATGTAGTTGACATAGTGGTTTAGAGTAGAATTCTTTGGGTCAGCTCTAACCTTCGATCGCTTGGTTTGGCAGTCATTTCGCCTTTTAGATTTTATCTCCAGAACTATCTCAAAACCACTATTTCGGATCCGTAGGTGGGAATACATAGTTAGGATTCACCCGGTTAAAGTCCACATAGACGTGTTTTTTGGCGTTAAAGTCCTCGACGATGTCTGCGAAGGTCGGCCTGTCTTTAGGGTTCTCAATCCAACACCTCCGCATCAAAGTGTAGAGGTCGTCGGTGCAGATTTCCGGTCTGGAAAGACGAGCCCCCGATTTTAACGCTTGCAGGATTAAGTCGTTTGGTATATTCTCATAAGGAAATGCCCCTAAAATATACACAATTAATACGTAAACGTGAAAATTAAACATTTAGCGTCTTCCGTATCACAAACAACAACTGTCTAATGATAATTGCGCATTTAAATCGTACTATGGATGTGAAATCAGTAGAAAATGTTACAAAGGATCTACTCAGTACAGAACATTACAAACTATTTAGTATGTTTTCAGCTGACTATTTCAGTTTGAGTCTATTTTTTCATAAGTAAAGCCTAGGAAAACAAATGAAGGAATCTAGAGCAAGTCAAATCTTTGCAATAAATGAATAAATATCATTTATCCTTTACCTAACGTGCCGATTTCCCACAAGAGCACCCCAAATGACCACACGTCACTTTTACTATCAGTCTTGAACTGTTCAATGGCTTCAATGGCCATCCATCTCAAGGGCACTTTCTTGAAATGTCGATTGACGTACGGACCACACCTAGACATCCCAAAATCCGATATTTTCAATATTTTCTCTTTCGTGATCAAAATATTTCTCGCCGCCAAATCCCTACAAATGAAATTGAATAACATTTTCACCTTCCAGTTATTCCCGACATATTTCTTGCCTTACCTATGAACTACGGGAATTTTTTCCAAGTAGGCCATCCCGGTGGCGATCTGGAGAGCAAAATTCTCTAATTCCCTGTGGTCCAGCACTGGTTCGGGCCGGCTGCCGATATCTGACAAAAGAGGAGTTTGCACGTCAGCATCAAACCTCATTATATAATCTAAAAACACCAATCTGTTAGTTCTACATCCATAGCACATTAATTCTGTATTAGTGAGTTTGTAATCTTGAAAAAATCGGTATCGAAGTAATGACAATCTAAAAATGTTTGAGAGTTGAACGACCTAACAAAGGGTAGGAGAACAATGTTATCACATCTAATTCCATTTAGTTAAGACGTATGTTAGTGTTATCAAATGATACAATACATATGATGTATTATACCTACCGATTATTTTGAACTTTTTCTAAAAACAGTACGCACGCCTCTACCTAAAACTGAATCCAGCACAGTCAAACGTCATTCAACTCTCACATTTTTATATTTTTAGATGGATTATTATAATTACACCCAATCTTATTATTTAGGTACTTGTAGATATCAAATATTTTAAAATTAGAATTTCTCAAGAAAAAAAACAATCCACCAATACCTCACCTGATTCTTTTGGGTCGGACATTTTTAACAGTTTTTCGTCCATGTCACTGGAAAATACAGAAGAAAAACAAATTTATAAAATATTTTGGTAATAAACGATGCTACAGATATAATCTCATAATCTCAATAACACTACATACTAGATTCTATTTATAGTCCAATCAAATTACTTTTTCAGGTGGCAAAAAATAGTTCAATAATTGAAAATATGTAAAAATTAGGAAAAATTCCGTCGAATTCAATGAAGTTTTCTTCGTCTGATTCGATTGTCATTTTCTGATAAACATGCTCGTCCATATCTTCCTCAATATCTTCAATAACTATGGTTTTTTCTTCGATATTACAACAATTATTGTAATCTTTGCACTTCAAACATAAATTAGAACATTTTAATACATGTTTTCGGCAGCTACACGCATTAGTTTTGCAATCAACGCTTTCGCATCTACGTGTTTAATAAATCAAGACTTTTTCTACTTTCAACTAACCGACATTACTTTTACTATTTTATTATATCAATAAAATACGTACCATTATATACAAATTCATAACTGATAAAAAAGCTTTATAAATGTAAATGTACATGAAAAGAAAAAATACACGTAGTTCGTTATGTAGGATCGACATACATTACAATAGTAGTATGTCCTATAGTCTTCTCCCCCCACTGCGCGCATCAACGTGTCGAGTCGAGCAAGCAATACGGGGCCCATAAAAATAAAGTTTAATGAAAGAAAATGGGACCAATCGTTGTGGACTATTTCTTATATAGAAATACAAGTATTCAACTATAACATGTGTAAATTTCAGCTCTTAATATTAATAAATGAGGTTGTGGCGATTTTTTGAAAAAAACAATTTTGGTCGTAGGACAGACTTTTTTAAAAGTCATGAAAAAATGTCATCTTTCAAATGGCAGTATCGACATTTTGATACGAATTGAAATCAAAAAGTTAATCAACGTTTTATGGCACCGAAAAGAAAACCGATTTTTCGATAGTTTTTTTGCGATATTTGAAATCGATTTGAGGCTCGCGCAATATTTGCACATGATAGTGTAATTATTAAAGAAAATTTTAAGCCCAACCCCGTTCCTAAAGATGTGGCGGCCTATGAATTATGGTGATTTTATAAAAACACTTTTTTTTCGAAAAACTCGATTTTTGCAAAAACTATAAAATATTTTTCAATTTTGAAAAAATCATTTTAGTTTGCTCACCAAGAGCTACCCCTTCACCAAGCTTCATAAAAAAAATATTTATTTTTGAAAGAGATACAGCTATTTGTAAAAATTGTGATTTTTAGCGGTTTTTTTGCAATAACTAATTAATTTTGGTCATACCCGGTTTGGGCTTAGGGTTACCAGATCTATTTCGTGACAGACCCGGAGATATGACCTGTTTACATAATTGATGCCTAAAAAAAGTGGTCCCGAGGAAATCGATGTCTAACAAAAGAAAAAGGAATCAGAAAATGTGAGAAATGTGTTCGAAGAAATCACGATTTTTCCAGAAAACCCGGAGAAATGACATGTTAATCCGGAACCCGAAGATGTACCATCAAAACCCGGAGATCTGGCAACCCTATTTGGACTTATTCCATCCGTATTAAAAATTCCTACAACTTTTGTTTGAAACATTTTTTTTCTAAAATGTTCAATTTTTTTTATAAATAAAAAAATCTTTTTGCGAACTTTGGACGCCATTTTCAAAATTAAGCCCAAAAATTCAGATGGAGTAAAGTGGTTCACTGAATTCTAGGGAATTTTTCCTAATTTTTACATATTTTCAATTACTGTAAAGCAAAAAATAAGGTATTTTCGACAATTTGATTGGACCATTATATCCCAAGAGGAATTTGAGTATGCCGTTAGAATTTTTTACCATTGTAGTTACTCTGATTATTAAAATATCAATTGATTCGAATCCGTAAAATTAGGAACCCTTACTCTGGAAAGAAAAGCCTTCTGTCTTTGTTTTTGATCCATATTTCTCTCAATTTTAAAAGATACTCTTTCAAAGCGCCGTTTGCTACCAGTTCCATTATAGTCATATACGGCTGACTTTTTGTCACACAGCCCAGAAACTTAACGACGTTCTTGTGAACGCCAATGTTTTTGAACATTTTTATTTCCGCCAAGAAATCCGTCTGTTCTTCTTTAGGAGCACCTTCTGAATAAAAAAATCTTAAGTCAATGTCGGATTTTTAGCACAGGTGTCATGATTCAGCTTATTACAGCTGCATTGTCGCATTTGTTTCAAGGCCAAGTTTGATCAAAAATGGCTTTCATTGAAAAAGTATTATTAATCACTTCTTGTAAAAAACAATTTAAAAATTATTACTTAACCTCTTAGCAGTTTCACGGCAACCATCGTGAACCCTGATATACCATTTAGATTGTAAGCTTTGGCATAATACACTTCTCCAAAGGCTCCCACACCTAAGACTTTTTTTATTTCAATGTTCTGTCGAGGAAATTCATAAGGATCTTCCTAAAATGTATTACTTATTTTAAACACAGAAAAAAAAAAGTACACGTGAAATACGTACTAATACTTCCAAAGGCGTATACAAAGTGTTTATTTCTTGATTAGGCAAACTAAAGAAAATTATTCGTCAAATTTGTTAAAGTATTACAGTAAATCTTACTTACCTAAATGAAGACTTTTTTAAATTCTGGATAATCGGAGATCTTCTGTAGTCCGAAAATAAAACTTTTTTAATACTTTCTAAGGCCTTAGATGAAAATAGTGACCACTTCACAACAATACACAGCAATATTAACGCAAGGCAGAACAATACAAAGATGCTTATTCTTTTGAAGTTCAGGAAATTGTCGTGTTTGGATGGGAGTTGTGCTAAAAAGATTATAAAGAGGTTTGTCCCCATAATGTTATTTATACCATCATTACTATCTCAAGATGGTACTATGAGCCAGAATCAAAGAAACTTCAAGAAATATATAAAGTGAAAATATCAGTGTGCTCTTTTTGTTTCCGTAAAAAACAATAACCGGGTAAACCAAATTGGATGGGAGTTATCCCGAAAACTACTCGAAATAGAAAAAAACTGATGTTACAAATATACAAAGCGTTACCTCGGAAAAATGTCAATTTTGACTAACAACTGGATCTGTGTTACTAAAGTACAGGATCGAAGAACAGCGAAAATGCAGGTACTTTTTTATTAGAAACACTGACATAAAACAAAAAGTCCATCCATTTTTGAGCTTCAGTAAAACTTGCCCGCGAGTCCCATCAAACTTGGTACACTCTGTACATACATATGCATCTAGATGTCCCCCAGGGTAACACAATATTTCAAGAATATTTTTATACTGGAAGCTACAAGTTAGACCTAGATATACCTGATGATAATTTACCTCAAAATTAAATTTCATTTTTTTAGCAACTCAATTTTTCTGATTAATTCCGAATAACTTTCTATTTTTTTCTTTGATTCTGCAATATGTGGTATACCTACACTTAAACTTACCGACAAACTTAAGATCGGACTTATATTTGCAGATTGGATTAATGTTATTATCGTCCGTATATTCTATGACTAGTTTATAGACATCCCCATGTCTTAAATATTCCATTGGAATTTCAAATGCGCTTTTTATATATTTAAGTTTAGGTACGTCAAAGCGATCATTGTTGTCCTGCCTTATACTAAAATAAAATGTTTCTACAGAAACCGTTAACAATCTAGTAAAAAGAGTTTTTTTGTTGTTTTTCTTATAGTTTGTTTAACTATACCCAAGCCAAGAAGTAGCCGATTATTCCGATATGGTCTAAATATCAAAGTACCAAGTAAAATCGTTATTAAAAAACAGGGTATTCACATTAATTAAAAAAAAATCTTGTATTAAAACCTCTACATATATGAGTAATTTAATTGCTATTCCTACCTTGCGCTTTTTCAACTCATGCCGCTTAGTTTTAGGACTTACCAGAAAAAAATGGGGCAAAATGTAAAGAAAACGCGAAAGTTTTAGAGTGGGTATCGGTATCATATACATACAGTGTTGGCCTATTAAGAACCAAAACAACTGTCTAAAAAATTTTTGGGACACCCGATTTTATATTTATAAAGTTTATCTATATATTCCAAAAAAAAAATAGAATGTCCTTATGGTCACACGGTACATACATATTATACAGGGTGGTCCGAATTTTATGCAGGAAACTTCGAGGGCAGATAGATCTTTTTAAAATAATAGGTGTTTGTCTTATAAACATAGGTCTGGAACGGCCTCGTTTTAGAGATACAGGGTGTTGAAGTTGTTAAAAAAAATATTTTTTGTTTATATCTCCGGAATCCATCGACCGATTTCAATCAAATTTAGTGCAGATAATGTATGATAGTAGGCCTTGTATTCCCTAAAATACGAGCTCTAAAGGTTAAACCAGTGGTGTACAACTGGACAGGGTCACCCCTTTTTTATAAAAAAAAACTTGCGCCACTGTATTTCTTACAAGCTATTGTAACGGATTTATATTCTAATGTACAAAATACGTAAAAAAGGTAACGTGAATTTTTTCCCTAAAGTTCACCGTTCTCAAGTTATTCATACGAATACAATCTCCTTGTGGCGGATACTTCTAACCATAATATTACAAGAATATTTATGTTTATGCTTAAAAGTAAGTGCAATTTGTAAGCACATCAACAAAATTCTTTACACTCGTCGCTTTCATCTTTTTGGATTAAAACAATATTTGGAAAATCACGACAAAGGAATGAAAGGCACAGAAATGAAATTTTAAAAGCATTTGACGACGATCCTCGGCTAAGTACACGAAGAACGTCTCGGCAACTTGGGGTGAGTAAATTGAAAATTTGAAAAGTTCTACGTAAGGATGGCAGAAATCCGTACCATTTACAACCTGTGCAAAATTTACTTCCGGGAGATGCAGAGAGACGCCTGAATTTTTATCAGTGGTTGTTTGAATTCTTACTAGAAATACTTTGGACCGATGAGGCTACGTTCACAAGGCGAGGGGTAGTGAATTTTCACAATATTTGGTCACAAGAAAATCCTCGTGAAATTCGGATAAGATCTTTTCAACGAATTTTCTGGCTCGGAATAATTCGGACTTTATTTCTTGTCACCCCATCTAAATTCCCAGCATTTCTAAACTTTCTAGAAAACCATCTATTTGAATTATTAGAGGATGTTCCATTAAATATACGACAAAATAGCTGGATACAAATGGATGGTGCTCCTGCGCATTTTAGGAGAATAATACAAGAATGGCTTAATGAAAATTATATGAGATGATGGATAGGTAGAAGACCAAATGCCAATGTCAACCATAATGGTGCAGAGGGTCCAGTGTCTTGGCCAGCCAGATCGCCAGATCTAAACTCCCTGGACTTCTATGTTTGGGGTGACCTACCTGAAAAGTTTACTCTACTCCAATAGATACTAGACCACAACTACTGCAGCGAATAGAAGACGGGTGTAATGAATTAAAAGAAAACCACCACATGATATTAGCTTCAATTAGTTCCATTAATAGAAGATGTCAGAAATGTATCGATGTGGGTGGTTCGCATTTTAAACAATTGCTGTAAATACGTAACGTTAATTTTGTTTCTTGTTTAGTTGTTGTTGCTTGGTAAATGTATTTTTATTATTATTTTGATTTAAATTGTTCTTATTTGTAAAGATAATGCCTCCAGGGAAAACTAAAACACACCAGGAACACTACCTCACAAGTGATGTGGAAAGAATTTTGTTGATGTGCTTACAAATTGCACTTACTTTTAAGCATAAACATAAATATTTTTGTAATATTATGATTTGAAGTGTCTGCCACAAGGGGATTGTATTTGTGTGAATAACTTGAAAATGGTGAACCTTAAGGAAAAAATTCAAGTCACCTTTTTTACGTATTTAGTGCATTAGAATATAAATCCGTTACAATAACTTGTAAAAAATACAGTGGCGTAGGTTTTTTTTATAAAAAGGGGGTGACCCCTGTTCAGTTGTACACCACTGGCTAAACCTTTAGAGCTCATTTTTTAGGGAATGCAAGGCCTACTATCGTACATTATTTGTACCAAATTTTATTGAGATCGGTTAATAGATTCCTGAGATATAAACAAAAGTTCCAGACCTATGTTTATAAGGCAAACTCCTATTATTTTAAAGAGATCTATCTGTCCTCGAAGTTTCCTGCATAAAATTCGGACCACCCTGTATAATACATATTTCAATTAGCTAGGTACGTAACGTCAAAAAGAAGTATTGGAAAAGCAAATTTTTTATGTTAGGCAATATAAAAAGTATAATAAACAGCTGGTGCTAACAAATTGGATGAAAACAGGTTTGAGGTTATGTTGTCATAATTCCTTTAACTTAAAATATTGCCAAGTAAAAAGTAAAAAGTGCAAAAAATATGGGATAAAATTGAATGAGAAATGGTAGGTATAATACCAAAGAAGTTGTTTCTGCATCTAACTTCAATTTTAAAAAGGATTTAGTAGATAGTAGTTATGTAGGTAAGAAGGTAATGTTTTTCAAATTTACTCATTGTTATTGTTGTTTTAAACCGTTTAAGTACCTATCTTGATATCTTTAGTTTATTAAAGCTAATAAAAATGTTTATTGATCAAAATGGCTTTTTAATATAAATCTGTCTGTAAGCTAAGTACTAATAAATAACCAATAGTAGGTAGGTACCTACTTATTTACTATCTGCTCACCTTTGTGAGATGCCGAGCCACTGATTGTCAGGTTCAGACGCTGTGCCTACAGTTGATGATTTGTCTATTATTCACATCACAAAAATACGAAATGCCTCACTATCACTAATCATTAACATTAACATTAACTTGCACAAAATCGAGATTTACCTATTTTTTATACATCGGTTTATATTCACAGAATAAGCACTTAACGTAAACATTACCACGAACTACTACAAACACCGACGATTTTTTAAGGAGAACAATATGCATGGACAAACCTTCGCTTTTACATTCAAATTACTTAAAACTACTTCTGAAATATGGAAATTGGAATAGGTAACCAACATCGCTACCGTACCGATAAAGTAGTTCGTTGTTTTTCGACAGATATTTTCATTGGTGCAATTAAACAGCAGTTGTTCAAGACCTACTCAAAAACAGTTGACAAAAAAGTTGCTGGTGCTACTAAAAGCTGCAAGCAGAGCAATCGGTCAGGTGTCGGTACGTTTAAAGACGTTTGTAAAACCATTTAAAAAAGTAAGTATAATTAATTCAGAAATAAGTGAAAATAAAACTCTTGTGAATTACTAAATTGTGGTTAAATGTGGTTACCACGCAATGAACAATGTTGTGTTAATGAAACAGCAAAAGGGAGAGGAGAAAAAGGTAGGTAATTAAAAAAAATATTTTATTGTTTTCTTTTCATTTTCCTGTATTTCCAGGTAGGTCCCGAACGAGATAGGGCATAGATAACAACAACGATAAGGTAGGATCAAAGTAATATGTAGGTAGTTATATCACAGCTTAATAATATATGTGGTTATATGTTATAGGTATGCACCTATTCGAGAAATTTAGACGCGGCTACTTCTTTAAGGCGTAGGTTTTCCTGACCGAATAAGGGCCAATATTTTTACATAAGTAGGCGATTAGACTAAATAATTTTCTGTACATTTCATATGTTCATTCACAATTTAATAGCTTGATTACAAGTCTTAACAGTACAGACTTAAATTTCTGAGACTGGTGCCAACTAACCTACCAAAATATTGGCCCTTGGTCCGCAGCGTATCTTTTCCCGTGTAACTATTTTATATTCTTTTCTACTCACTAAAAAGCATTCGTGATGTGATAATTTCCTTTTTTCAAACTTGTATTCTGAGAGGAATAATGCACTCTATAATCATGGTCCCCGATAAATTCCACGTCAATCAGTTTTATCAAATTTGTCCATTGCGTCACGCATACACAATAATTCCCTACACACTCTAAAAATCATGGTACAAGTTACTATCTTTATTCCTACTGCATTAGAAACAGTTTCCAACAACGTGAAGCAATCGCATTTGATTCGAAAAATTAATTTTGAACATTTAAACATTATATCGAAATGCGCATGCTCCTGAGTGTAGGAAACTTGTTTTGAATTGCTCTAGGAACAAAGCTATTACTTTAATTTAAGTAATAACTTACCAGGCACTGTGTAATTCTTAATCGCAGGGCTGTCTTCAAATTCTATATTTATCATGTAAATGGAACCTGGCAATATATTTTCAAACAGGTCGCTGTTGTTTAAACTTGGAATTATTATACTGTTGTACTGAAATAAAATGTAATTCATATTGATCAAAAGCATTGCTAGAGAATAAAACAACCGGCTTTGAATAATTTTTACTCGAATTGGTAGGTACGTTTTCGGGGAGCAAACCCAGCGGCAGTTTTTATGGTTGTTTGACTGGTAAAGATTTGACTAGGTCTTGGTATAATTTCTTTTTCGATTTGATTTTCATACAAGGTGTAAAGAAATGCTGTGCCAAATTTTAATGGCAGAGTGTTAAATATAAAAATAAGTTAAATTTTCCACGAACATAAATTCAAGGGTTAGAAGAACATCAAAAAAATGTGTTTTTTTTCTTACAGACCGTGAATTTATCGACTTGTTTTTAGAATATAACTTTTTTGAGTTTAGGGTTCCTGCATTACAATGTAAACCTCCATTTGATACAAATACATTATTAATAGGTATATTGCAGAAATCAGTGACGTCCAATTTTTTTCAAAATTATAAAAACCCTTAAGAGAATATATGTGACACAAATTTGAAATAAGAAATAAATTCAAATTTTCAACGTCCTACACGTCAGAAATTGGTCATTTTAGAATTTAGATGCAGTTTTCTTCTTAGAGCCTGAGGAATAATTTCTTTTCATATTTAAGATTATTTAGGGGGAAGCCGAGGGGGAAACATCCTCTAGGGCTCTAGGGCGCCGCCCCCCCTAGAAATTTTCATAGAAAAAAAAAATTAATTCAATGTTATCTGGATAATTAAAAAGGAAATGTTAAGTTTCTAATGTACAGTCAATTTAACTCGACTTGCAAAATTTATTTGATAAACACTGAATACGTGGGCTCCTCGTAGCTCACCCCTAAATCTGTAAAGTGTTTACAGTGGTGGTCATGGTTACCGACACGCAGCAGTGAATGACGGAGTGGGAGTAGCGCAGTGCAGTTTGGGCTTTGTTTAATTCGCCTCTAACTAAATAATAGCTATTTCACACCTTTTTTCTTATTAAACGTAATTTGTTTACGTGTGGTGTAAAATTTTGTTACTTACATATTGTCTTTTGTGTGCTTTTTAAATGGTTGGAAAAGTTTAAATTAGATTGCAAAGTCAGACTAACAGCACTCGCATTGCCATCTATTTAAAATCAGTGGTGCAACAAATTAACAAACTAATGAAAAAGTAATTGAAAGCAGAAGAATGGACTTTCACTATGAAAAATAATGTTGAGCACATTTTTCCTACATTTCAATAGTACTTAAAATAAAACTACCCAATTATAATTGACTTTTTTTCAATACTTTGTTCCTAAATTTTTCCGCCCTCCCTGATATGGAATTCAAGAGCCGCCACTGTACAGATCCCTCTAATACAGTGGCGGCGCGTGAACATTGATTGAATGTGTTCTGCTTAGGGTTGTTACATTTGTTGAATTGAATTCCGGGATATTAAGTGCCCGGAGTCTCTAAACGGCGCCGCAGGCGAAAAATTTTAAAATTTTCAAGGTCACGCGTTTTCCTGGCACTTCTGAATTTCAAGGAACAATGAATTTATAAAAAAATACAGATTTTCACAAGGATGATTTTTGAAATTGATACCTTTTTGAAATATCTATTTACGAATTACCTACTGATGGTATAAATAAATTGGAATAAACTAAATATATTTTATTAAATTATTGAATATTGTTTATAAACAAAAAAATCGTTTGTGAAATTTACCAGCGATTCAACGAATTTTAATTTTCCTCGCCGTGTTATGATTTTTTCTTTATCTTTTTTTATATATATGTACATTATATTATATTCCGGGAGTTATACGTGCAAATCCGAAATTCGGGACCATACATCTAATTCCCGGTACAATCACAGAAAATCCCGGTCATACCCATGTGGCTAGATGTTCTTTTAATATGTCGTCAAGATCTGCACTAAAATTTATGAGTCCACGAAACACATCAGAGTTGTCCGAATTTTCTGTCTCGTCGTGTCCGCGAAGTGCTAATTCGAAAGCACGGCAAAATTTTATGCAATCTATGATTTTAGATAATACATAACGATTTTTCATTACCTGTTCATTGTGTTTCCGTATATTATCCCAATATGCAGAATCTAACTGACTTCTTATGTTTATTTTACCTAGACTTAATGACTTAAATCTCTCACACTGTATATTGTCCATGCTTTATCCCCACCGAAAAGTAAGCACGGAAAACAAAAAAGTAAATTTTTTAAATCACACCCGCACACCCACTCTGTTTTTGTGTATACATTATTGTTTTTTTATAACTTTTACATCTTTTATTTTTAGTATATCCTCATAAGGCAGAGAACCAAATAAAGTTTTTTTTTAAACGAAACGCTATTCATTTTAATAACTATAATATCCGTAGACGCCTAAACGAAAATATTCACACGTGCCGCTCGCAGAAATAAACCACCATATACCACGTACGAAATACTACTGCATTTACTGCACGTGCCTGATTAACCAATAAAAACAAAGGACGCATGTAATTGTTCGCTGTCCACACATTTTGTATATGAGGTTGCATATATTAAGGAGCGTAGCTCGCGTCGCAATAAATACATTTGGATTCTTTAAATATTTTGTTGATATTTAATATGATTAAATACATAAAATTTTATGTGTTCTGCAGCTCCGCAGCTCTTATGGTAAAACCGCCACTGCTCTAATAGTAGTCTATTGTAGTATGTTACAATCTCAATAGACCTTTTTAGTAGTGACGTCACATAAGACTTTCTCAGTATTTTCGACCTTATGTACTTTCGACATAAGTGCCAAAAAAATGTCTTCTTTGTCATGACGTTAAATATCCCGATATTCTGGTAATATTAGAAATATTTAAAAAATATTTAAGCACAAAAGTGTATCTATTTTACGAAACACGTATTGGCTCTTCTTAAATACTTCAAAATCCTTTTAAAAATAAGTTAATTTGAAGTTGTTCATTTCTATAGTATCTATGTAAATAGTAAACAAGGATTAGATTCATTGACCACCATTAGATTCGATCTGTGCAATTTCAACTACGACAATTTGTTGCGGGTTGCCTAAGTATGTGACGTCACACTAAAAGCGTCTATTGTAGTAATGCAGGAAACCTAACCTCAAAAACGTTATATTCTAAAATGACGCTGTGAAAACTAACAACACTGACGTATTTTCACCATCGTCAAAAACTTTGTTGCACTAAATATCAATGCAATATATTGTTCTTTTCGAAAATGATAGGGCCAAAAATACGTTATTTTAAAAAACCATCTACTGCCTTGAAGCTCACAAAGAGACAATATGTAGGAAAAAATCTTATTTACGATTGTTCTATTAGCACCTGAATTTACGGTATTTTTTCAGAACATCTTATATAAGGCCTTAGTTCCAAAAGTGACATGTCATTTTCTCTTCGCACTTTTCAGTTTCACGCGCCTTTTTCAAATTGAACACAGATTATGATCTTGTACGTTGTTCATATATGCATTGTTTTTTAGATAATGTCATAAAATATTATTAAATTTATCCTGATAAATACCTAAGAGCCGTAATATTAATTATCATGAAGTTATTATTTATGAAATGTGAAAAATAATATTATTCTGATAATCACGTTATCCATGAATGAAATATTATTTACATGACTACTTTTTAATTGTTTTTTGAAATTTGGAATAAAATAATTTTTCCTTAATATTTGACAATACATCTTGAAACACATGGGTTTATTAACTTTTTTGTTAATTTATGATGTAAAATTCGTTATTAAAATCTGACAAAAAGTATTTCAGTTACATCTTATATAAACATTTTTCTGTTTAAAAATGTTTTTCTTCTTCCTCTTTTTAAATTTTTTTTTGACATACAAACGACCCTCCCCTCCCCCCTCAAAGTCCATCTCTGAGCGCCTTTGACCCTATAAAGCTTGTTCTTAAAATTAGGCAACGTTTTGTAATATTATAAAAAATAAAATAAATATAAATAAATAAAAAATCTATCTCCTATAATAAAAATTGCAATATAACGAAGATGAGAACCTTAATCGATATAAATGTTCCTACGAGGTTGGATCAAATATAAACGAGAGTTTAGATAATTATACCGCTAGCGAAGGCGCTAATTGCAAATTGTAAGAAATTCAGTATGTGTCATTTGGTAAGTGAGTCATTTGCGGCAATATTTTCTTGTGGCTGTGTCTGAAACTTCTGTTTATTATTTTCTCGAATGATTTTTTGCTTTTTTAAATTTAAATATAATTTTTTCCATAATATAATAAGCTTTTACCATATTTATAGAACATGTTGCAGTTAGACAAAATAGAGCGCTATACGATAGATGAATGAGTGGAGATGAAAATTCATTACAAGTACGGAGAGTGTGTAGCTGAGACTGTGCGTAAATTACGTGAAATTTTCGGTAGAAGAAATGCGCCGAATATAATATAAAATTTTTAATTCAGTATCGTCGTTATTTTGCAACTTCTACACAGGTGATTTGTTGTAAATTTACCTATTTGTATCCTGTTAAAAAAACCATCACAATTTTGAAAATACCTTACAAGAAAGAAACCTACAGAATATTATCATACTCACATCCGTAATATTATCGTAGCTTGAATAAATGCATTCTCCATCTATATTGTAAATTTCAGCGTAAATCTCCTTCGTTGAACAATTACCTAAAAGTACGATTGTAACATTTATTGATGTGTCCAAATTTTTATTTAAATGGAACAGAATTTTCGACATAGGGCAACTTGTATATATTTTTTAAATGTCTAGAAATAATGTAGAACCTTATATAAATAATAAGTTGTGAAATGTTAGAAATCTCTTAGAGGTTGTTAGTTAAAAATAATTAATTATTAAAATTTGGCGCCTAAAAAAAACGAATGTTTGTCGCCGTCCTAATTCGTGACGTCATTTAGTGTGATAGAGGATGGGGAAGATGAATAACAGAGACGATACGGTTCGACAGCAAGAGCATACATAGTAAGTAACAAGAGTCTAGAGACAACCAAATTCACTTGATTGAGTTCCGTCTCGTCAGCATAAGATAGTCGCAGACGGGCAGGTTGTGTATCGGTCGCACTAAATGACGTCACAATGTAATAATAAATTTTCAAGCAAGTTGCCTTATGGTTGCTTATGCAACCATTCGTTCCTGTTTTCAAAAATAAAGATATGACGTGTTGAAGGATTCAACTCGTGTCTCATACGAGTGATGTTAGTATACTTACCGCAGTTATTATCCAATGTGATATTGAAGTGGATGCTGCTGTTCTCGAATAGGAACGGCTTTACGTGCAGGGGTCCATCTAAATTCAAACCGCGTTTGTTATCATAGGCATTTAAACTACCACAGATACATCAATTCAAGACTAGAAATGTAAATATTTACCTGATGTTAGTTTAACCTCGGTGTAGTTGGCAAGTACCTGAAAAATTCGTTAATTACTTCGCATGTACGTGAGATACACAATTTTATATAGCCTCGGTGTAACGTTCGAGATAATGTCATTAGACCAAGCAAATTAAATTTTTACTTGAAAAAAGTCCTATCCGCTAGATTATTGTAAAATTGTCAAAAGGAACATAATACAAGACATCTCTCGTCTCGTGAGTCAAAAACTTTTATTAGCTAACTTTTCTATTTAAACAAATAAGTGAGGAAAGCAGTTTTTTCACTTTGCAGGGATAACCATAAATTTTAGCGAAAAGTGACTCATAGACAGCTTATACTTATAGGGAGTAAAATTCTTCTCTTTAAAGGGCTTGTGAGTCGTTAATTTTCCACATTTTTCAATGCAATTCACGGGAAATCGTAGTTTACTCGTAAACTTTATTTTGCGAAAAATTCAAGTCAATATTTATAAACAATTGCGCTACGATTTAAAAAAAAAATCTTATCTTGGCTCCTGTTGGTCGTAGAGGGTACCTTTTTTATTTTAAAACTGTATTTTTTTGCCAGCTATCCATTGCATCTATTTTCGGTGAGATAGCATAAATAGCAACAATGTTATTCAAATTGTTTATAAGCGAAAAACGCACGGTTTTCTAATGCACAATTTGAGAATGTTAATGTCAAAAAAACGGTGATATTTTTTAATAAGCCGCTTAATTGCATCTTTAAGATTACAATGACGCTTTCAGAATCATGTTTGATTGAAAATTAACGCCTGTACAGAGGCTTAAAGTTCATAACTTTTGGAGCCTCCGCTATAAACAAATAGAATTGTGCGAAAACTATTGCACCTACAGCGCCCACTTTTGGCACACTTTGAAAGTATGACAAAACCTTCAACTTGTCATAGGTTTTATAAAATTTTAACAATAAATGCGATAGTTATAAACAAATGAAAAAATGGGCACTTTTCTTGTTTATTTGCAATAACTTTTTTGTTTATTAACTGATTTTAATTTAACTAGTCTCATTTTGTAGATAATTTTACTTCCTATAAGCTGTCTGAGGGTCACTTTTCACTAAAATTGATGGTTTTCCCTGCAAAGTGAAAAAACTGTTTTCCTCACTTATTTGTTTAAATAGAAAAGTTAGCTAATAAAAGTTTTTGACTCACGAGACGAGAGATGTCTTGTATTATGTTCCTTTAGACAATTTTACAATAATCTAGCGGATAGAACTTTTTTCGAGTTTCTCTTTTATTTTCGCTAATTTTCCTGGTGTACATATAGAGGCGGTCGCATAGATAGGGGATATTGTAATAATGCGTTATGGTTGCGCCTTATGTTTAATGAACAATTTACGGGCACAACGTACACAATAATGTGTCAAAAATGGCGGTGTGCTTTTCTTGCAGGGGGTCCAAGGGAGTCAAAAATGTAAATTTAAATGTGAAAATGATAATTCTAACCCCAATAACCCGAAAAACGATTTTTCTCTGCTCTGATTTTATCAGTCAAGATACAAGCTACATTAAACTAAAATTCGTATAAATAGACTTTCGGTGTCAAAAATTGACCCATAACAATCTAGGTCTGTGGAAGTGTGGAACTCTTTAGATATGTCCAATCCAATTTCACATAATTTAATTGTATTAATAATTACACAGACCCGCAAAAAAAAAGTTGAAAATACTAGAGACTAGACCCGCCTATCCTTATGTATTTTGACGCGCTGAAACCGAATCCGGAGTCAAAATTTCTCCATCACCCTCCAGTTTTTTTTTAAATCGCGAAAAACTATACATATAAAATAGTCTTATTGTGCTGGTTCTCACGTATACCTCAACCTTCGGACCCGTGCTCAAGCGAGAATTTGAAGATTTTCCGTGTTTTTGGGGTAGTTTTTCGCGATTTAAAAAAACTGGGGGGGGGGTGATGGAGCAATTTTGACTCCGGATTCGGTTTCAGCGCGACAAAATACATAAGGATAGGTGGGTCTAGTCTCTGGTATTTTCAACTTTTTTTTTGTGGGTCTGTGTTATTAGTGTAATAGTGTTTCAACTTCTGCTTTATCTATAAAGCTCCTATATCGGCAACATATGGCTTCAATTTAATCATAATTAAAAACTAATTTCGCGACATCCGCAAACCATTCAGTAACTATTATTATTTGTGCAGTAGTACAGTAAATACCGCTTATCCTTTTGGGGATTTGTCCGTAAATTCAGCAATATGGTCCTATATACAAGGTGTCTCAAAAAGACCCGAATCCTTTGATAACTTTCCAGATTCACTTTTATCAAAAAAGTTTTATATAAACGTTGTATGACATCAAGATCCAATATGATGGTGACTTTCCAAGGTCAAACCGGGGTCAACTGGAAATATTATATCGAATACCCTACTTTCTTGCCAGTAATCGATGTAGTTCCAATTTTTTCTTCCGAATATTAGAATTTTTTCCGGTTTATCTTTGTGGGTCAGTTGTCTGAATAATTTGACAAGATCGAATTGTTGAAGACAATGTTTCTACACCACCAAAGCAATTTCGCTTAATTTAATTTTCTTCTTTCAAGATTATTGTATTTTGTGATTCTTCTGTTCATTTGGCCATTGTTAATTGCGTTAGAATATAAATATTAATAAAAAATTTCTGACCTCATACACCTCATATTTAGAGGTAAAACTTGACGCTCTATCGATTGCTGGTAAAAAAGAACATTTCATTTAATACTTTCAAGTTGATCCTGTTTAATCTTGAAAATTGAGGTCAAGGTTATATCCAAGGATATCAGCACATTAGCTTCTTGATATCCTACAACTTTTATCTGAAACTTTCTTTAGCAGAACCCAATCCTGAATGGTTATCGTAGAAATCGGGACTTTTTGGAACACCCTGTATATATTCAATCGCGTGAGCCACAAATTGTATCGCATAGTTCTGCGCGTTTCCGAATTAAATATTTATTCGGTACTTAGATTGTGTTTACCAAGTTGTAGATTCTACGTAAACTATGAATTATAGATAGATAGGTGCATTTAATCGACCTTATCTGTTACATAACTCAACGTGGTGGTAGCTATCCGAGGTGCACACTGTCATAAAAAATATATTTTCATTTGCTTTCCAGGATTTTCAATATTTACCTGTCTCACTTCCGCCATATGGCTCGTTCTCTACAATAAAAACTTTAACGATCGATTACTTATATAGTAAAAAATAGTTTGTTACTGGATGACACAGGAAAGCCATTATTTTGACTAACTTAACTACAAAGATCAGCGCCTACTGATAAACTGTTTTAGCTAGAGATTTCTTTGTTTATTTTAATGAAATATAATATAGATAAATTTAAGGTCTAACATGAACCTAATCATAATATTTTTCATTTCATAACTGAGAATCAACGATTTTTCTTCACGAAATTCCTATTTTAATTTGAAAATAATTTTGGACATACTATATATAGTATTTTTGTCCTAACACTATTTCTTATGAAATGATATACAGGTAAATGTAGGGATAGCGATTCAGAGGATTTAATGAGAATTAGAACAAAAAAATCATGGTGGTCTCTTTAAAAAATACACATTTTTACGCCATACTTTTTTTGCAAATTACCCCTTAACTCCCGTTAATTCGGAGCTGTTTTATCTATTTTAAATAGGTAGGTACCATATTATTCTTTGAAAAGCAATAAGTCACACAATAAGGTACTACAATTTTTTTTGAAAACGTATAACAAATATTAAAAGCTAGGTTAATGACCGTAAGGTGTTGTGAAAAGGGCCTGAATTGAATTTTGTTGGGAGGCCCAAATTTCGAAGTTCCGCCAATGCGTTTAGTTTTATGTATATATGTAAACTCATGGGTATTTACATATACAGGGTCGGAAAGTCCCCATGGTTCATCGGCCGTTACATGAGAGCGATCATAGATCATAGAAGTCATAGAAATCCGTGTGATAGAGAAAGATGGCTATAATGAAGGCGTCTAATAGTCACCGCCCATTTCGCCCTTCCACAAATAAGATCCACTTCTGTATCCATATGCATCATACACACGATACGGCATTTGTTTACGTTTGACATATATTTGGCAAGTGACCATAACAATTAATTGGGGTCTGCTTGAGACATATGTACACCGTGTATATGATACAACTTGACACTATAGGTTCTGGCAAAATAATTTGTAATTTAAGCCTAAGATATATTTGTTTTCTGTTTTTAAGAAAACTCAATGTATATTACCAATTGAATTCAGTTAAAAATACAGATACTCAAATGAAGTACACTATTTATAAATTTAGGACCACTAAAAATTAAACACGATAACTTGATAGCCTTTTATCTAAAACGTGTTATAAAGCGATTATTCGAAATTATTAGTTAATGATAGTTTCTAGTAATAAACTTTTTTCTTCTTTGATAATATTGTGGTTTATTGATATAAATCCTGTTGACTTTATCCTAGTTCCTAATATTATCTGCGTCGATCATCGAATAAGTTTCCTATACTTATTTAATGTACAGGGTGTTCTCGGATAGGTGAAATACAGAACAAGAGGATTTGTTTAATTCTTGACATTGCCACAAAAAGAGGCACTTTGTTACTTACATTATTGTCACATGCAATAAATGTAACAAATGAATAATGATAATTTATCGATAGGGCCTGTACATACATATGGGATATAAGCACGTTAACCGATTACTTTCGAGAAAAAGTAACGTAAATCAATTTCGCAGATGTTTTGACTACAAAATAGTTCGGTACCACAAAAGTGAGTCTTGATACCATAATACCTAGTGAGATGTAGTGATTTCAAGTGATTCGTCAAGGCAAGAAAACACTTATCTTGAAAAACTGTTCTCAGGAATTTCAATCGACACGGACTCACGGTGTATATTAATGTACATGAAACGTTATCGGACACATTGGTTTAAAGCTTACTTAAATTGGCTTATTGATACCAGAATTCTGTCATGTCAAAACAATCAACTCGAGATTCACGAGCTCAGAGTTTTCTTTCTTTAATCTTATTTGTGATTCAAATTTTAATACGCATAAATGACCTTGAGTGTTTTGAGTTTAGAACTTGAGAGTATGTAGCAGACCTGATCGGGTCAAATGGTCCCGGATTCGGATTCAGCGACTCCATAAACGTATATTGGTTTGCATCGATGGCAATTGATTTTCTACATTTGACCTTGAACTGATCTTAACCCAGACCTCATCGGGTCAAATGGGCGACAGATTCGGATTTAGCGGTCCCAAAAACATATACAGGATGATTCAGTCATAATGTCATTAATTTTAAGCACATATTGAAGTGAAACAGCTGATTTCCCAGTCGTAGTGAATTGTCAAACTGTCATAGATTGATAGATACCCATACTACTCTTTGAAAAGCAATAAGTCACGCAATAAGATATACGTCCTGCATAATACTAAAAACTCATAATTATTCAATTATAAAGCGTAGTGAAAACTTTAATAATATTAAAAATACTAAATTGTATAACCTAATACCTGAAAACTATTATTATCGTTACCTATACATTTGTTTTTATTAAGTAATAAATAATACTTGTTAATATTTATTATTTAGAATATAAAAAAAATTCTTATTCATTTATATGTGGTCTCGGTCTTGGTAAAAAGGTGTGTTATTGTCGTTCACTATTAAAAACGCAGTAAAAGCTAGGTTAATGACCGAATGCGGTAGGTCAAGATTCACTCATTTTCCCCTATCTTCCCTTAAAATGAATAACATTATGACTTAATCACCTTGTAGATACCATTGTCGTGTGATTCAGACCACCCACTTTTCGCCTATCCGGTAACATCCTTTAGCTCGGATATTAATAAAGGGGTAGGCGAGGTTTACGTGAAAAATTTAGTCTACTTCACAATTAGTTTCATTGAAATTTTCTAATGTAGGTAACCTATTTGTTTACGAGGGTCATCGTTCTCTCATCGAAAAATTAAAAGAAAATACACAACATTCACTCGATGTTCATCGATTCATTAACATGTTCTAAACCAACAACGCATATGCGCGTAACGATATAATAATTATAACCTATAAAAATAAACTCACCTCTATCTCGAAAAGGATCATGAAAGAAACGAACACGATAAACATTTCAACTGCTGTCAGTTATTCTTAGAATAATACCTACATCCGATTATCCGATATGGTCAGTGTTTTTCTTTATTGTTTACCAACGCTGATTGTAGTCTTAACATCAGAATTATTTTTCCAACCTGCAACAGATGGAAGAAAAACAGAAATACAGGATGTCCTAGAAAAGAAGGTCTGGGATGAAAATAAGATGATAGGTAGGTGACATATGATAGACCGAACTTTCCTGTATGCAATGCTTCATTTAAAAGATACATAATTTTCAAAACCGCTTAGTTTTTATTATAGTATAGTTATAGTATGTTAGCTTCAAATTTAACATGGATGTTATTTATTCAGTTGCATTGACTCCTTAGCCTCTTTTCGATTTTCTACAATTTCTCGTGAGTATTTTATCTCTTTGAAGTATTTCATTTATTATAATTTTCGAGATAAATACCACTTTTTAAAAGGTCATATACAAGGTGTTATAAGTTTGACTGCCTTAATTTTAACAGACGATAGAATACATTAAAATAAACAAAAAACTCAACCATTTCCGAGAAAAAAATTATCAAAATCTCCAATTTGATGTAGAAAAGTTCGATTAATTAAGGAATATAGACATAGTTGCGTGCATAGATTACCATAAAATACAATGTTTATCACTTTTTTTGAACTTCTTTATGTTTAATTCTAAAAATAATTAGCGTTGTAATAAATTTAAAATTCGATAAAATTCATATCGAGCAATGTGACAACGGCGGATAACATGAGGTAAGTACTAAGCTGTCCAGCATTACGCAATTCAGTTGGTATCTGGAATTGGATCGTGTCTGAGTGTTTTTTGCGTACGACTATTTCCTTTTCTTGAGGTGTTTTCCAGTGAGTGCGCGAAAATTGGATTCGAAGGTGTCGTGCGTGCATCGAAAATGGTAATGGACATTTTGAGGATATGTTTTGTGCTTGTGCGTTTAAAAATTACTGAATTTTACTTTTTAATAAGTACCTAAATTATTTTTAATGCGTATAATTATTTGGATGACGTGAATCTTTGGGTACTTTAATTACATATTTTTCAAATTCATAATTTTATTATGAGAAATTCATAATTACTAAAATTTCGATCTAAAATTTAAGCACAACACTATCTTCATACTACAAAATCGATACATTTTATTTTATTTATTTAAAAACTGAAAAAAATAGTCTTGAAATTTACTAAATGTTTCACAATAAGTTATTTACATTTTTTCCGTAGGACAAGTCTGCCGCGTGCACACGTGGTATGCACCAGCTGTGTTAGGTTAAGCGCTGTTGTCACGTTGTGATGAAACTCCCCAATATTAATACTCGCTGTATTTTGAAAACTGTTAATCTTACGCCCCTGTAATATACAACTTTTTTGTTCATCTAAGATTACTCTATCTCATGCAGAAGTAATGGCAGTCAAACTTCCTACACCCTGTATAAGGATGACGGACGCACGTTACGCACGCAGGATGCACGTAAGTTGTAAAGACTTTATTCTTTTCGTTAACAATTTTTAAAACCAATAAAAAAAAAACAAAAGCAGACATATACTTTTAGCAAATTACAAATTAAACATTAATTTAAATTTAATGTTTACATTTTAAACAATATTTTTAATATTCTCATACGCGAACATAATTAAACAAATGATTACTGCTGAAGTTATGTAAATATATTAGTAATACTAATAATAAAAAATATAAGTAATAACTGCAATACATGCAAGTGATATGTGTAATCAGCTTCTAACATTTTTGTTGACTTTATTACAAAACAAATTTCGGCCTTTGTCTATTCACATGAGAAAACTAATTTAAAGAGTGACGGCACTTGCAAAATAAACAATATTTTTCATTCTACCCCTGAAAAAAAAATGTATTGGGTTAAAATCAGGAGATCGTGGTAGCCGCTGAACAGAAGCATTTTGGCTTCGTCCGATCCAGCAATATGGTAATAATTTATTATTTAAGAGTTTAAGTTGCCGTCCGCAACAATATGTGGATTCGGCTTGAAAAGTGCGTCAGAACTTAAATATAATCAATTATTCTCAAACCACTGGACTGGGCGAGACCGAAACACTACTGTGCACAGGCCACCACGATCTCCAGATATTAATCCAATGGATCAATACATATCTTTTTCTGGGTTACTATGAAGGTCATTGTTAATACTTAATAAATTAATAATATTGAACATCTTAGAGAAAGACTTTTCATGGCAGCTAACGAACTTTCGCATGTCCGTTAACGAAGGATTGCATTTGTATTATTAGTATAGGACCTTTACTAATGTTGTATGAGTATTTACTTATTTTGAAAGTGAAGACATACTATCGAATATATCCATATGCGCCATGCACCCGATATGGCATTTGTTTACAAATATTTGGCAAGTGACCCCAACAATTGGAGCCTGCTTGAGACATGTGTACACCGTGTATATGATACAACTTGGCCTTATAGATTTTGGCCAAATAATTTGTAAATATTGTTTGGAGAGCGACAGCACCATCTGGAGCGATCTTGAGCAGCCCTTGATAAATGAAATACATTTAGCAGAATTAAAATAAATTGATTGATAGTATATTTACAATTTGTACCATCAAACAAAATCACTTCCTATTTATTTATTAACGAAGTTGGAAATATTTATGCAGCTACGGCCAGACCACCAATAAACTAGATTTTATTTGACTTTCAAAAAACTCGAATAAATCATCTTAACGATATCTAATTATATATTCTACTATTTTCACTTGGTATATAATTAAAACCAATTATGTTATAACTTAATATATATTTTCGTTTTGTTTAAAGTGTCGAAGAAATACGTAACCATTTACGTTTACTTTTACATTCCTAAGTATTACTAATGTGATAATAGAAAAATATGCTTTTGTACATGCGCACATTTTCGACATTGCTCAAATCGACAAAATACATACAGGGTGGGCCATTAGTGTGAGAAAGTAAATTAACACCCTTGTTGTTCATAATACAGAAAAAAAAGTTTATATAAAAATTGTACAGAATCAAAAAACCTAAAGGACAAAATTAATTTGAAACATACAGGGCGATTTGTAAAAACGGGACACGCCAAATATTACATTTTTTAAATGGAGCACCCAGTATATTTTTAAACATATGGATTTCTGAGAAAATTCTATATATGGCAATATAAACAGTTGAACATTTTAGTGCGGGGTTGCCAAATTATGTAGAAAATTCTTTGAATTTTGGAAAAAACATGACCTCGAAGAAGTTGTATTAACTTTCAACTCATATATTAGCTAATATCGATATTTTATACAGGGCATTTTTTTTAAATACGATCATTTTTAGAAAGTTTAAACTTAATTTTCTAAAATTTTTCAAATCGATCACCCTGTATTTTATTCTATTTTATTCACATCGGTCCACTTCAACTTTTATTAAGCGTGTTCTATATCTAAAATTGTTAGTTTTTAAGATATAGCAACATTTTTTAAAAAACTTATTTTTTATTATTTTATAGAATATCACAAATAAATATTAAATAATAGAATTAACTCAAAATGGAATGATAAATTATGAACTGACAAGTTGACACAATGTGACAGCTTTTTCCAAAGCCATTTCGTGCGATCGAAAATAATAAAAATTAAGTTTTTTCAGAAATGTTGCTACATCTTAAAAACTAACAATTTTAGATATAGAGCATGCTTAATAAAAGTTGAAGTGGACCGATATGTGAATAAAATAGAACAATAAAATACAGGGTGTTTGATTTGAAAAATTTTAGAAAATTAAGTTTAAACTTTTTAAAAATGATCGTATTACAAATAAAAATGCCCTGTATAAAATATCGATATTAGCTAAAATAGCCATTGTCTAACATTTGCCTATAACTCTGTCTAATTATTTTGTTCCAAGTGTTAATAGTTGAAACTTATTACAACTTCTTTGAGGTCATGTTTTTTTCAAAATTCGTAGAATTTTCTATATAACTTGACAATCCCGCACTAAAATGATAAACTGTTTATATTGCCAGATATAGAATTTTCTCATAAACTTTTTTTCTGTATTATGAGTAACAAGGGAGTTATTTTACTTTCTCACACTAATGGCCCACCCTGTATATGATCTGAATTAGATCGTGGTCTATTAATAAGTGCCGGTAATTATTCTTTGGAATATATTTACCAAACAGGATGACATTTTAACAATACCCATCTTCTTTTCTAATCAAAAAATTATATTCTGTTAAATTTTTATCGTCGGGAAACAGCTAAATAAAAAAGTAATAAATAACATTTAAAGCACAATAAGAAATCGAGGAATTAAAAAAAATGGAGATGTTTAACTAAAGTTTACTGCATTATTTAGTTCTAAACACGTGTCCGGAAATGTTGACGATGTACAGGGTTTTCAAAATTAATGAAAATATGACTTCAATTTGCAAAAAAAATCAGATAAGGGATGCGAAAATATTACTTTATTTTAATCAAAGGTTGTTGTAATAATTACCTAGATATAAAATACAAGTTCCTGCTACTCAAACATTGTTTATACCTACTGACAGAGAGTGACCCACTAATCTGTAATTATTATGATAGCAGGACTAGTATCGTATCAAGTGAATTGTTTAGCTCATGATCTTAGTTGTTTACTAGATATCCGGATGTAGTTCTTTACCACAATATGATTAATTAAAAAAATATATATATTTATTTCGTGTATTATAGTAATATGATTTTTGGAACATTTATTACTCAGTCATTATAGTGGATCAAATTTGAAATAACTTGGAAAAAAATTACAATCGAAAATTACTATGTTTACCTTAAGAACTACGTTTGTAGACAAAAGAAAATAAAACTACATATGAACGAAATCTTTCAGCTGTTATTTGCAATTTAAGAAACCCAATTTTATTCTCAAACTTTAACATCCTGTATATCGAAAACTAAGTGTTTCCGGAACATGTTTACAGGAACCCTTTATGTTAATTTGTTGAACTTTAATGGCAAATCCTACATCCGTCATTAAAGTTTGATCAAGCATTTTAGTTACACTTTGTATATTGGTTCCGATTACTCCTTATGAAGCAAGTTTAGTGTATTGAGAAATTC